AGCACACAGAGATGCGTCACAATCACATAATATGATACGATTATTGATACCCCAAGGTTTCCACCACCGCACATTGCACAAGACTAGGTGATTTCCATTCGACTTAGTACCAGTACAACAGAGCCACACAAACAAGTTAGCAGGCACAGTACCAACCACTGAAAAAGAAATGTGACACAAATTGTGACTTGCAATAGCATGCAAGTACATATGGTCAGCCGTCGCATGGCAGAAATACTACCAGAGCAGCGCAAGTACAGGGTATGTGCACGTGCATGCGTGCGTGCGCACGCGCACGTGTGTGTGTGTGTGTGTATATGTGTGTGTGTGTGTGTGTGTGTGTATGTGTGTGTGTGTGCGTGCGTGCGTGTGTGTGTGTGCGGGTGCGACCCGTCATATTTACTAACTTACACACTCCTTGATGCTTGTCGCTCTCTCCATGAACGGCCGGAAGAAGAGAGCCGGTTCATCGGTGGTGCAGTGTACAATCACCTCACGAGCAATGTCACTCACTAAATACCAGGGAGCAGCAAGAGGAGAAAAAGCAGGCAAATCAAGAAGCGGATCACATGAGCAACACACAAATCCACCTACTACAGGACGGTAGCGGTCACATGCATTGTCTGCAGCAGCATGCTTGGTGCAAGGCATCAAAAGCTGTCCATGTGAGCGGGAAGTGTGCACATTTAACCCGATGCTCTTTCTTGCTCAGAGACACATTTGTTTGGCATGAGTTTGTATGACTCAAAATGCAACACCATGATCATCAAGAAGACAGTAAAGTCTGAATCAAGCAGTCTACACACAAGCAATCCAAACATCCAAGCATACGTATTGCAAGGCGAAGACAGAGAAAATCATCATAACTAACAGTTTCTTCATAAACTACAAAAGCAATCATGATGTTAGTGTGTTTACCCTGTTCCTCAAATACTCACTGGCCGAAACTGTGCATTACCGCAAGACCTGTAACTATAACGAGGAAGCAAATCTAACGCTTTAACGAGTGGCATTTCTTCGTTATAATAAGTTCTGTCGAGTCTGTAAGGCCCCATATGCGTTATGTGCGGATACGTCTGAAGACCTCAAGATCATTGAAACGCATCTTTTCATTAACCTATGGATCTTGGACAATCGTTAAATTCATGACTCTTTATAGCAACATGTCTTACTGTAATGGCCGATCAGCAGTGGTTCTGACTTACCCATCTTTCCGACGCTTGTGCCCGCAGCCGTGTCCTGCAGCAGCGACACGATCTGAAGGCTGGACGCGCTGATGGACGGCGGGAACAGCATGTTGCGCCGGTTCGTGTTGTACTCTGCGAGACAAGCAATAGCCACAGGAAGGATGATCAATTAAGTCATGTCTGCATGGTCATGCACAATATGCGTGAAGGTATGATTGTTATGTGGGGCGTGCGCATGGAACCATCAAACTACACCGAAGTCCATCTCCAGTGAACATTGAATGATGAACAGGCACCTGGTCTCCAAAGGCAAGTGGTCTTACCAAACAGGTCGACAGCCCATTCAGACAGAAAAGTCTCGCCGGTTTTTCGGAAACCCGATTTTAGCAGCAAACCCTGCCGTCCTAACCTTGTAAAACCTGGCCAGATTTATATCTACCTATCATTGAGCTTATGCGGCCCCAAATGTAGCCAGGAAGAATTGCACCGGCAACACAATGCAGGATGCACTGTTGTTTTCACGATATCTACAACCGTATGTGCGAGACACCAACAAAGTTAGGGTGCCAGCTATGGATGAATGGATTGCATGCATACATGATGAGGTATGACGTGAGATTTATAAAGGACCAAGGAACTACAAGTAACGGTATAATGTCCACTAACACCACCAGTTACTAAACAATCAGCTCATTGGTCCTTTTTTTTCTTTTCTATAAATTTATCCTTGGCTCTCCATCCGAGTCCATTTATGACGTGAGACCTCAAGTAATCAGCTGGTCTCAAACACAGACTACAGTACCGCACAGTGGCAATGGAATGCACGTAACCTACCATCTGCTGACAGTGGGAATGACGAGGTGGGCCCGAGACTGGAAGACGCTTTGTCCAGCATCTGATCGATGGACGCCTCGTGCGCCAGATTGATCTCGGTGAGGTGCGTCTCCTCGCGATGCCGCTCCCTGACATGCTCGCATACCTTGCAGTCACAGTCAGTAGCATGCTTGCCGGACTGGCCGGATTTCGAATCTTCGGCTTCGGCCGTTGCCGAGTTGCCAATCAGCTCGATAGTGCCCTTCAGGTTGAATCGATGTGACTGCACACGGATACAGCACATAATGGAGCCAGACAGGAGAGGTCAAAGCTAACACATATAAGGACATCACACCATGTTAAACCTTCAACACGATCGACAGCAGCAACTGCCCGGTAGCCACCTACAATGTACATGTATGAGCGTTGAGCATAAAGGCAATCAGGATGGGTGTTTCCAGTACGAGAATCTCTTGAGCAAATACATGCAGGCACGCAAACACACATGCGCGCGCGCGTACACACACACACACACACACATACACAAGCATACGCTCCACACGCCCGTTGTGCTTAGCTGCCAACCAACTCATGGCAATTCCACCCAGCCGGAGTAAAGACAAAAGGCGTAAGCTAGCAACTCACTTGGGTTGACTTGAGACCGCTCTCAGCCTCGGACTCCATGCCCATAAGATTGCTGTTCTCATCCATCGGAGCATCGGGTGCTGCACTCCACGGTGGATATGCCAGTGGCAACGTAGCTATACCGATCAGCGGCTGCGGCAAGGATATGGCGATGTGTGTGTTGGTCACCTGCAACACAGAATACAGAGGTTTCACATCAGTTGTTGGTCATGTGACTAATTCTGTGTAGAAAGTGATCATGGTCACGTGATCAGTAGAACCAACATGCCCAACATCATGTGATCCTTGGCTGCAGGGGTTGAGTGGATTTGGAACCAACATGGCAAGGCTGTTATGCATGCATGATCCAGCGACATTATGTACGGTACAACATTTGCCGGTCACCACAGTGATTTTTGATGCTGTCGTACGCGACCTTGCTGTCATTTTCAAATCTCTGGAAATATTTAGTAAGGCTTCGCTTAGATTCATATCGATTACAGCCGTCTTGTGGGCCCGATTTATAAACTCTAAGTGAATCCGCACGGGCAATTAGAAACTGCGCATGCAGATATTTCGATCGTCAGAATGCGACATGGGAAAGTGAAGTTGCGATCTTTTTCGTTTCCTTCTTCCTCGTGGTGCCGGCCATTGGCGATTATCAGAAGTGGCTGACTTTCGAGGCTTCCTCGCAGGAGGTGCAGAATTCTTGGCAGCCCTCACGTCAATTTCATTGACAGGTCTGTCCTTTTCCTTTGTCGTAGTAAAATTTTCATTGCAGCCTAGATTATAGTTTCCGTGCCCAAATCGATTTGTATGGCCTCCTTGGACGTCCATGTCAAGCGTCTAGTTGATGTTTGCAGGATAGGTGGAGCAAAGTAACCAAAGTTCTCCAGCCTAAAACGTCAAAGGAAGACCCCTGTTGCGTCTGCCATAGGTGAGATCCATGCATGCTTTGGTCTGGATGTCAGCAAGGACAAACCAGACGTGCATCCTCTGAATATCTGTAATTCATGCAATCAAATTGTATGTGGATACAGGAAATCTGATAAAGATTTCACTGTTAGAGATGGAGGATGTGGATCACCTGTAGAGTGGACACCTCACAAACGGTCGTCTTGTTCTTTTTGTGCTGAGTTCAGCCAAGTTGGCAGACCAAAAGAGAAAGACAAAAGAAATCCACTCACTGTGAGTGTAAATGCAAAATGCCCCAAACTCCATTTTGGGAAGTAGGTGTGAAGCATCCAGATCGTCTGGCCTGGACTTACAAGATGTGAGTGAACCACAAGGCCTAGCAACACCCTGCTTCAAGGCAGATGTAGAGCTTGATGCAAGCAGCTTTACACATGATGCAGCTCGCGTGCTATTCAACTTGTTAAACCAAGCCGTGGAGGCCCCGTGTTGCAATCATTCTTTTTGCTCTGCATGCATTTGGCACTGGCTTTATGGGGCAGCCACATGTCCCTTCTGTAGGACCCCTCTTCAGACTTCTCAGTTGACTGCACCACACCCATTTACCACAAAAGCTCTAGCGGCAAGCACTGTGCATTGTGATTTCTACATTTCTAAGTATCACGGTTGCTCTGCAACAGTGAAATTACATGGTTTGCAGGCACATGTAAAGGAGTGCCCATTTAATCCCACCGTTGAAGCCCTTATGTTCCTTTGCCTCCTACTGTCAGTCCATCATTCACTGTCCAGGATGTACTGGATGCTCCAACATCTCACATTCGAGGAGATTGTAGTGGCAAACTGTTGAACAAGCTTGTGCAAAGCATGGCCGAAGATGGTGTACTAGAAGTGAGATCAAATTCTAGTGGTAGATCTCAGACCTGGATACGAGCAGCAAGTGGCACTAAGTCTACTGAAGAAGTCAGTACTAGGACTGTACAGGGGCTAACAGTTTGATGTCTCGCTTAGCCACTAACTTAGGTGTGTAGCTCGAAAGAAAGTGCTGCATCCCAGACTGCTGCATCCATTAAAGTGCCACCTAGGTCTGAAAGAAATGCCTTACTTGCAGATCCAGGCATGCTCCCCAAAGGTTCACAGAATGCGGCAGGTCTAGCACTAAAAGCCGACATGCACATGTCATGGTTTGCAATAAGGAAAATGAGAGTGTGGCTGCGGGAGTTTGGTGTATTCTTGGAATCAGAGCTCTGCACTGGTACAGGCACCCCTAAGTGTCCTTGAGACAAAGCAAGTAGAAGGGGAATTGGCAGATGAAGCAAGGAGCATGTTGGCTCGCTACAACAACTTGCTCACACAGCTTGCAAAATGCCGCGGATTGTATTCTGGTGCTTCGCGCATCACTGCAGGCCAGCTGGTTGACTTGGAAACATCCATTGCTACTTTCATGGGTACAGTCCGCACCGAAATTGTTGCACGCAAGAGAGGTAATATCACTCCTAAGCTGCACCTATTGGAGGAACATGTTGCACCCCAAATGAAACATTTTGGTGTGGGGCTGGGCTTGTGTGGAGAGCAGGGTGGTGAAGGGTTACACGCTGAATTCAACCACCTTACAGATAGGCACGGTGGTGTTGCATATCCAGTGCAGAAGTTGCTGTCCATTGCTAAACAGCATCTCATTTCAACCAATCCCAAACTCCTCACTTTAACACCCAAAGTGAAATTCAGAAAGCGCACGCATGAGGAGACGTAGCTGCTATGCCGTTAACCTTGCACTGGAGAAGTAGTATATCGATTTCCATCCCTCCCCTTCTCCAATATGAATTGCACCTCTAACAATTCATCTGTGCTTTTTCTTGTGCATGCAGATCTGGTTGATACATTCTGGCTTCCTCTTCCCCTCGAATCAAATTTTCACCAGTTGCATTCTTCGGGTTGCTGAGTCGAATGGTCTTGGTCCGAGGAAGCCGAGACGCTCCCTTCCTCCTTTATTCCCAATCGAATTCGCGCACTTCCACCGAAACTGGGTGACAGCGCCCTACTAGATGGGAACTTGTATGCAAAAGTCACTAAAAGCGCTATTTCGTTCTTATAAAAGCACGGATGACCACGATTGGCCCATAATATTATGTTGTAGTCTTTTGGACGCTGAGTCGACTGGTTTTGGTCCGAAAAGGCGATGCAGCGTTCGGCCCTTATTCCCAATCGAACACGGGTGAGTAAGCGGTCACGTGCTCATGCGTACACCAGTCATCTGGTCAGCTTTTGCAGCATTCCTGTCACTAGAGTTGAACCTTTGAACGTTTCAGTTGAACCTTGGTGTGAAAGTTGTAGCCTGCAGGCACGGTGACCAGGCGACTGGTGTACGCATGAGCACGTGACCGCTTACTCACCCGTGTTCGATTGGGAATAAGGGCCGAAAGCTGCATCGCGGCCTTTTCGGACCAAAACCAGTCGATTCAGCGTCCAAAAGACTACAGCATATGGACCAATCACGGTCATCCATGCTTTAATATAAGAACGAAATGGCACTTTTAGTGACATTTTCCATACTAATCCCCATCTACTTGTAGTAGGGCGCAGTCACCCAGTTTCGGTGGAAGTGCGCGAGTTCGATTGGGAATAAAGGAGGAAGGGAGCGTCTCAGCTTCCTCGGACCAAGACCATTGGACTCAGCACCCCGAAGACTACAACTGGTGAAAATTTGATTTTAGGGTATACTTCCCATTTAAGCTTAAACTTGCTCCTCCGCATGCACTTGCGCATTTAAGCTGGTTCAAAAATAGCTCGCCTACTAGATGTTCTCTCCAGTTCCCACTTGCCAGATTATTGATCCTTTTAAAATCCCCTCTATTCAAGTCCTATTCTCATTGGTCTCGGCTTTCGCAGGAGGTAAAGTCTCGTGACACCTATGCTGCATTTTGTTCCATTCCGCACGCGCCTACCTAAGTTGAATTGACAACGGTTTCATTGTTTTCATTGCTGGCCTAATCTTCATACTGCTCTCTCCAGGTTTGCTTTTTAATTTTTTTTTAAATTCGGCCAGTCGGTTACTATCATTTTTTTCGTCTTGGAGGTTAGACATCTACAGTACATTCATCGGAAACTGGCCCGCTGGCTTTTGAAAGTCGGATTTGGGCCGAATTGAGGATCAAAAATCCACTTTAAATCTCAAAATTCTGGGTTTTGGATCTGCTTCTCCATACATTTTGCCATGGCATACCTGTCCTAATTGTGTAAAACCTGGCTGAATTTCTATTTCCCTGTTCTTGGACTTTTCTGGCCTCAAATGTGCCAAGGAGTAAGTGCACGGGTCACACGATGCAGGATGTACTATTGTTTTCACGATATCTACAACTATGTGAGAGAGACACCAAAAAGTTAGGGTGCCAGTTTCCAATGAATGGACTGAAGTTATGGAATAAAGAACCATAATAATTGACTCCTGGACATACTCGGTTGGGTAGTTCACGGAAGGGGGCTTCCAGGTCTTCGTAGACTTCTTCTCCTTGAGAACAGTCTCTGACGACCCCTCCGAGACACAAATCCATCGTCAGAAAAACAAAACTTTCTTCGATTGATTTGAAAAAAGTGCAAAAGCACGGCACACGTCAGTACGCTGTGCGTACGCGTGGCTAAACGAGCTGTTGCGAGGCGGGTTGCTACGGTACGCCGCCATATTGATAAATGCCGCACTCCGAACAGCCGTAATATGGCTGCCCTGTGTGGTCATGTGATAGATGTGAAAGCACTCTACGCACACTATGTGTGTAGAGGACAGTCAAGCCCACAGATCCACTACTGATAGTTCACACACTAGATCTAGTACTCTCTCGCCGCGTTTCTCCCACATTTAAAGCACTCTGACTCTTATGCTTCGAGCCGGTTTTAAATTGTTTTGTCGTCCACTGGACTTCATTGTGACCGGATTGGCCAGTGAAACATATTCCGAGTATGTACGGAACATGAGTGAACCGCAGTACAGGCAACTTGACCAATCACATAATCAGTACCGCTCCACTGGAGACGTACCTTGTAGTTCCGAGGCGCTGTCTGATCTGCTCGTGCCCAGACTTGATTTCGGCAGTTCCAGAGAAACATGAACCTGCAAGTACACAGTGGTAAAAGGGGACAGCGTAATTGTCAATGTGTGCTTCAAATGCCAGAACGGAATCAAGAAAGACGCACACACGCGAACACACACACATACACACGCACACACATGCATGCATGCATGCACGCACGCAAGTACGTGGGCACGCACACACACACACACACACACACACACACACACACACACACACACACACACACACACACACACACACACAAGTACGTGGGTACGCACACACTCATTCACGCATACACACATATGCACACACACACACGCACGCACACGCACACACACACGCACACACACACGCACACACACACACACCTTGAACCTTGAAACTGCCACCTAAAGGTGATGCAGTGCCTCAAAGAGGCAAGGAGGGCAGAGTTACTTCTTGCATTTGTGTTGAGCCAGGTACTGGAGACGTGTGAACTTCCGAGAGCAGGTCGGGCATGGGATGGTGCGGCGCTCGGAGCCAGAGCTGCATGTTCTGCGGTTGCAGTTGTGCCGGACACACACACACACACACACACACACAACTGTACTTCATTTCCTGATCAGAATATCAGTGAGGCTCACCGTTTCAATGCGTCCACTCGCTCTTGTGGATCATTGGCCTTCATTGCAGACCTCATCTGCAATTTGACTTTCTCCGGAGATCGAATTCCAGCAAGCAAGAACAGGCAGCCTGATAAATAGCAGCATTGACAACATTGGCAATGAAGATGATGACGACAACAACAGCAGCAACAGCAGCAGCAGCAGGAGGAGCAACAGCAACAGCAGCAACAACGACAATGGCAACGACGACAACAACCACAATGACGACGATGGCGATGATGACAACAAGAACAGGAGTAGCAGGCGGAGGAGCAAGAACAAGAAGAACACAACACATACACACACACACACACACACACACAGTACTGAGACTCAACAATGAGACAGGGATATGCATAATATTATGATGTTGATTCTGTGGGGGTTGTCACAACAGCACCAATAGTACGCGAGGGAGGGAGGGAGGGAGGGAGGGAGGGAAGGAGGGAAGGAGAGAGAGAGAGAGAGAGAGAGAGAGAGAGAGAGAGAGAGAGAGAGAGAGAGAGAGAGAGAGAGAGAGAGAGAGAGAGAGAGAGAGAGAGAGAGAGAGAGAAAGAGGAGGGAGGAGTGCTGTGGCTAGGCTAGATTTCTGCCCCCACAACACTTGTAGATTTCTGTTCGTCTCACCTGCAGATACGGCCATTTCACGGTTAGATGCCAGTGTTTGGTCCCAGAGCGCTGGAACGATGCGGTCAAAGTGTCGGCGGGTGATCACTGAAGCCGAGGAGAGAAGCACTCTGTGCGACACGCCAATCAGATTTTCCTGCAGCAAAACAGCATGCAACTTTCCAATTCAAATTTACTGCTACAGTGTCAGAACACAACAAGCCGCTAGATTATCAAAGCGAGTGCATGCATGCCTTCAGCTGTTTGTATACATGTACTGATAGGAATAGGCTTTCTGAGCAAGCCCTGGGCTGCACAGAGAGCTGTGCAATGGTGGCTCAAAGAATGCATTATTCAACGAACTCACCGTCGACTCAGTGATATAGTCAATGCGCACTTGATCGCGCTCTCTCTCGACAGATGAAATCGACGGCACGGTGGTGTTCACGATCATCAAGTTGGCCTGGGTGTTCTGCATCGTATTTGACCGTCTTCTCCCGTTGGGCTTGGGCAGTTTCTTCATCGGATCCAAGTCCATCAGAAACGTTGAGTCAAGACCCATACCTGCACTGGAGCTATTGGGTGGGGGTACAAGCAATGTTCACACGAATACAGGATCAATGCAAAACGGCATATTTCGGAAGGTAAAAACTTTACCCATTTATAAACTTATAGTAAAGAAAAGGACCAAGGAACTACATTTTCGTTACGATGAAACTGCATGAAGTGTTGTCCAGACTTTCTAAATCCACTGTTCAGTAATAGTACCTGCCACTCTCTGCCAGTCGCTCCTCCAGATGCTTCCGAATGGACGAGTTGCTCTGGGAGCGTTTTGGCAGCCACTGCTGTGCCGGAACAACGCTGTCTGAGTCATGGTTGTAGACGTGACCAACGGCTTGAAGCAGCGCTGTTGCCTCCTGCACAATTTGACCGCACAGCACAGCACAGCATAAACACCGCACAATATCACTACACAATGTACATGTAGCTGGCAATGCGCTGCGATCAACTGGGGTATTGACACACATACACACACACACATACACACACACACACACGCACACGCACACACTACTACTACTACTACTATAGCATGACTGCCCATTGGGCAATGTCACCCCCGGAGGGGGCCAGAGTTTGGAGGGCACCGTCATTGGCAGGACTTCTGGTGCCTCGTCAAATCTTGCTGTCGTCGGAAACGCTTCGGGCAATGCATGCAGATCAGCGGCAGTGATTCCCTATCGGCTGCAGCAAGAAGTTTTCCACGGTTGCAGTTATGGCGGTTAAAACCAGCACACACACACACACACACACACACACACACACACACACACACACACACACACACACACACACACACACACACACACACACACACACACACACACACACACACACACACACACACACACACACACACACACACACACACACACACACACACACACACACACACACACACACACACACACACACACACACACACACACACACACACACACACACACACACACACACACACACACACACACACACACACACACACACACACACACACACACACACACACACACACACACACACACACACACACACACACACACACACACACACACACACACACACACACACACACACACACACACACACACACACACACACACACACACACACACACACACACACACACACACACACACACACACACACACACACACACACACACACACACACACACACACACACACACACACACACACACACACACACACACACACACACACACACACACACACACACACACACACACACACACACACACACACACACACACACACACACACACACACACACACACACACACACACACACACACACACACACACACACACACACACACACACACACACACACACACACACACACACACACACACACACACACACACACACACACACACACACACACACACACACACACACACACACACACACACACACACACACACACACACACACACACACACACACACACACACACACACACACACACACACACACACACACACACACACACACACACACACACACACACACACACACACACACACACACACACACACACACACACACACACACACACACACACACACACACACACACACACACACACACACACACACACACACACACACACACACACACACACACACACACACACACACACACACACACACACACACACACACACACACACACACACACACACACACACACACACACACACACACACACACACACACACACACACACACACACACACACACACACACACACACACACACACACACACACACACACACACACACACACACACACACACACACACACACACACACACACACACACACACACACACACACACACACACACACACACACACACACACACACACACACACACACACACACACACACACACACACACACACACACACACACACACACACACACACACACACACACACACACACACACACACACACACACACACACACACACACACACACACACACACCATTGGACCATTGAACGCCCATTGCCGGAGGCGATGATAGCGATGCTACAGCAGAAGCTGTAGTGTTGTCTTGTATGTGTGTGTACCCATTGTGCATGCCTGTTCTCTTATTTGTACTCTTCTCTTTATAGATCTAGACTATCCGTTACGGTATCCCTTTGATGATTCATCCCATATCTAGATGTGTCATGCACTGTAGTGTACCCTCAAGTACTCTACTAGATCCCGATATGGAGTACCCGCGACTGTCTTGCTGTATTATGTTTCTGGCACTACTATTTGGTTCTTGCACTGATAATGAAAAGGGTTCTTTGTCTTATGGGAGTACAACAGTTAGAACTAATGTCTTGGCTCTCTGGTTGGTCTGGTTAGACTAAAGTGCGAAACACTACAGAAGCCATAGCAGCTTGTGCTGGGATTGCACCATTCAACAGCTTGCAAGGCTGAAGAATTGACCGCCACTATTCAGCCTGGTCTACACCACACAGCTATGAAGTGGCTTTTTCTGGCCAGGGAATCCCTACTTTTTGGTCTTTTTCATTTTTTTCACGCACACACATCACACCACATACTCCGGCATGCACTGGCTGTTGGTAACCACCCAGGAGAATGAAAGAAGAGCTAGGAGAATGAGAAAGAGAAGAAAGACGTGTGTGACCATAATCGTCGGGAATCGAACCCGCAACCTACTAGTATCGATTGGAAATCGCTGCACATACCACTGCACCATATGGGGCACACACACACACACACACACACACACACACACACACACACACACACACACACACACACACACACACACACACACACATTACTACTACAACTGTAGCTTGGTTGCCACAAGGGCCACACCACTCCGAAAGGAGCCAGAGTCATTGTCAGGAGCAGAAACGGAGATGACGACTCAGGTCACTCTGTCGACGGAACTGACGGTTGCAGCGAGAACAGCGAACACCATACGACGCTCTATCAGACTTGGTTGCTCGATGGCCACGGTCGCACTTGTGACGTCTGAAACCAGGCACTGACTTGAATTGCCCATTGCATGTCACACACAAGAGAGAAGCTGGGACGTTGAGCGGAATAGGTGATGCCGGCGCGGACGCTTCCGATGGTTCCAGGGGCAAACAATGATGTACACGCAAGCCACCACGAGAGTGAAACCACCTCCTGCATGTACCACACTGCACAGCACCACGCTGCTCCTGGATGGGGAGACTTCGCTCTGCGCTACACTTGTGTCTTGCTTTGTCACCTGGCCGACGAAACGAACGGTGGCAGATAAGACAGTCCACCCGTTGAGATTGGTCATGGGAAGGACCGCCGAGGCTCGGCCCAACGGCAGACACCCGCCAGGCAGACCGATCCTGAGCAATCCCATACCAAGCCAGATGTTCAATGCCGATGTGCCAAAGATCAGCCAAAAATCACATCCCTCCAGCGACGACGGGGACCACACGCAGGCCGAGGCGACGGTAGGAAGCCAAACAACAGCTGCTTGGGCACACGAACATCCGACATGCGGGCCACATGGCCAAGCCATTCAAGCCTCCGCTTCCGAAGCCGGGAGGACAATAGCGATGGATCACCCCACATCTCTCGGAGCTGCTCATTGGTGATGCGTTCCTCCCACTGTTGTGTTCGCGAAACACACAAGATGCTACGGATGCATTGGTGGTGGAAGCTATCGAGGCGCCGGAGGTCACCCTGCAAAGGGCACCAGCACTCCGAAGCATACAGCAGCACTGTCATCACACAGGCGTTATACAATCGGTGCTTCACATGGAGTGAAAGATCACGATTAGCAAACACATCCTGGAGCGATCCAAAGGCACGCGAGGCGAGTGACAAACGCCTCGAAACGTCTCCTGCAGAACGCGCATCCGGAGTGATGACAGAACCCAGATAAACGAAGGAGGAAACATTCTCCACCACCTGTCCATGAAGCGGAATGCCAGCAGTGTCAACTGAAGTAACACCAACACCAGCCACCATAAATTTGGTCTTGGGTATACTCACAGTGAGGCCAAATTCAGCAGAAACATCCTGGAACGCCGTCAAGGCCAACACAGCATGCTCCCGCGAACCAACTACAAAGTTTGCATCGTCCGCATACTCAACATCAACAACAGCGGTCTGCTGATAGGTATGGGTTCGTCGTGCTGGGTTGAATAACTGGCCATCCAAGCGATAGTGAAATTGGATGCCAATGTCTGGGTCACGATCAGCGAGAACAGACCGCCAACGTTCAACCACCAAAGCCAGATAGAGGTTAAAGAGGATTGGGGCCATTACGCACCCCTGCCTCAGGCCGTTCTCCACACGAATTTCATCCGTGACACCTCCAGGCACACGCACCTCCGCCACCATGCCATCATGAAATGACTCAATGACCTTGAGGAGAGTCGGAGGAATACCAAGGAAAGAAAGAGCACGATACAGCGCAGCCCTAGGCACAGAATCATATGCCTTTCTCAAGTCCACGAAGATACAAAATATTTTTGTATGATGCTCGTATGCCTTTTCCACCAGTTGCCGGACAGTAAACACAGCATCAGCACAGCCACGGTTGGGTCGAAATCCGCACTGAGACTCCGGGAGGAGATGCTCGGCTCTAGATTGAAGGCGGTTCTGTATCAAGTGACCAGCCATCTTGCCCACCACCTCCAAAAGAGAGATCCCACGCCAATTGTCACAGAGCGATAGATCTCCACGCTTTGAGATTGGCACCAGCTGGGCATTCCGCCACTCCTGAGGAACATCACCTGAGGACCAGACAGTCAAAAGCAAGGCCAGCAAACATTTATGCAGCTCACTGGAGCCATACTTCACAAGTTCGGGCAGGATCCCCGATGCACCAGCTACCTTGCCATTAGCCATTGCACGTATAGCTCGACCAACTTCCTCAGGAGATGGAGGGATGGCGAGCTCCTCGTCGACGGGCCTGACCTCCAGCGTACCGAAAACGTCCAAGTAATAGAGGCTCCTGATATTAAGGACGTTTGAAAAGTGCTCATACCACCTGGACGAGATGGCCTCCAACGACGTGCATACAATGCCATCGGTGTCCTGGATGGAGTGCACTTTCATGGGTGTGATGCCCCCAAAGCATCGCTGAATCGCCCGAATGGCAGCCCAGGCACTCTTGGTATTAAACCGCTCAGCCTCCACGATGTCAGCTTGTTTACTGAGCCAGCTCTCCTTTGCGGAACACACACACACACACACACACACACACACACACACACACACACACACACACACACACACACACACACACACACACTTGAAATGATGTGGACGTATATGTAATGTGTAAGTCTGCTACGAGGATAACGCGTTATCTTGAAGTTGAAGCTGAACAATCAAAATGCACAGTGAAGAGATAAAATGAGAACCCACGGAAAGGGAATAAGATATATTCTTTTTTTAATTTGTTATGCTGAACAATCCCTGCTTGGATGACTGCTACACCATAGTTGAGTGGTCAGAGCATTGATGGCCTAAAGCGAAGGTGCCTAGTTCATTACCCGGAGGTGACAGTCAACTTTTTCTTCAAACTTTCCCCTTTTCAGTCTCTCAGACTTACTCGAAGTACGAATACTAAAAGATAATAGTTATTTAGATAACATCTCTGGGGGTGGCAAAAGACTGCCAGAAGGGATGTCGCTTCCTTCATGCAGGCAAACACAACACCCTGACCCACCTTATAGACCAGTGATATGCACTCTTTTTGGTTGCAATGCCCTTGGCAGCTTCCTGACGACACGCAGGCCTTGATAAGCATCTTGCTGACGATGTCCAGCCAAGGAAAGCAGTCGCAGTCTTGTGACTGCAGCAAGTTCTTGGGCACGCCATACGGATCCTCCAATTGGCTGCATGCGCACAGAGAAGAGAAAGCACGATCGTTGACGTTGATGTGTCTTCTCGTTAACCTATGAATTTCGGACAATCGTTAAATTTGCGACTCGTTATAATAACATGTCTTGCAGTAGTGTATCATTCTGCAGACATACATGAACAGTGCTTGAGCTCATCACGCTCAGAACTGCACTGCTATGGAACACATAGACCAGCGTTACACAGTAGGGCGAGTCCTCTGAGTTTGCGAGCTTGTGAGTGGTGGACCAAAATCACATGTACGTGTATACAGCCACCACGATGTCTTGATCATGGCAACCTAGCATGAAGGAGATATATCCGCGCAATATCTCATGTAACAAACGATTCCTTTTCGTCTTCATAATTCACTGTACTTGCCCTGAAAATTATTTTTCCACTCCCATGCGGCCAACAACGTGAACAAAGAACCTACCAGCATGCGTACATAGTGGACATGTACACCGTGCAGCACGCAGTATCAAGGCCTGTGCTTGGCTAAGGCCAGCGTGTGCGGACTCCCCGCTGGGCGCACTATGCCAGCTCCCAGTGAATGGATGGTATGGTATTTTAATTTTAATTCACCAATCGAACAGGCATATCTGCCTTCTTGCCGGGATGGCCAGAGCCAACCACGGCTCCTACTAATTGATGAATGGAATGCGGGATACACAACAGTTAAGCCAGCTTAGCAAGGGCATGCATGCTGTGTGTAGATCTTCGCGTACGACTTTCAGATGTACTATGCAGATTCAAGTAGATCAAAAACAACCAAGGTATTCATAATTTCGGTCTATGAAAGAAAGCCGTGAAAAGCACACCAACAATGAATACTGGTATAGGGCTTGAAAGTGCTACGTCACAGCATAGCAACAATTTCAAAAATTCAAAAATTGGATCCACTTGGATCCAGTTTTTGTATGGATCCAAGCACATTTCAAGCCGTCTTACTCACAGCAAGGTGATGTAACCAGTGAAACTGACTGATTTGGCTACTGGGGGCGGGGTTACAACTGGTGGCGAAGTAAAAGTCACCCCTGCATACGACATGAGTGGGTTGCTATGCACCCACATACTGAGGCAATAGCAAAGTCACACCTTAGTGGATCCAAAATAGAAATCTGATGTCAACTTAGCACTCCCTGGCCGTTTTTGACGTCATCACTTTCAAGCCCTATTAGGCACAAATACAACAATATACCGGTAAGTAGGGCTGCAACGCGCAGGGGTTTGGTCGGGTAACGAGTTCGGGTATTTCTGTCCGGGGAGCACGGGTACCCTATCGAGTATTTTTTTGACATAGTTTGTACAGTGAGTGTGCACTTGCGCTACATAGAAAGTGTGCAGTTAAAATGTAGCTGTGCTTTTCACATGCACCGTTGCAAAAACACCATACTCCAACTGCCCGATCGGGTTTTCAGGAGCAAATTGCTACCCGAATACCCGCTCTAATTACGGGTAGCACGGGCACCCTACTACCCGTTGACACCTCTGCCGGTAAGCTCGAAGACGTCAGATTTTACTTACTGGACACTGCTTCGCCGTGAGTGGTTCTCTTTCCGACGCACCGTATGCGTGAAGTCCGCACCCAGCCGCACGGTAGAAGTACTTGCCGGCGACAGGTCGTGGCGGATCTTCAGTCCGCGCCGAGCGGGTAGCTGACTCCTCAGCTTGGTCATGCGTGCAGCCGAGTTGGACGCCGACACGCTGAGCGGCTGGCATGGAGCCACCAGACAAACAAATCAAACCAAACATGTGTGTGGCTACTGTTAGATAACTGGCAGGTGTTGCCCACGCAGACTGTTCGGATACACACAACTAACATTCACAAAGGAACAGCGATACCGAATGTGTTCAGTACATGTACAGTAAAGACCCCCCCCCCGGAACGTGATGATCTTGTTGTCACAATACGCTCGCATCATGAAGTCTAGTGTATCAACTTGCCTGTTATATCAATGACCCCCACACGGCCACAAATTTCTTGATTTACAGTATTCGTGAATGACGAAAGGCCAAGAAAGTCACCATTCATCCAATATGTTTATAAAATACAGTCCGAAATGCACCTAACTAGCGAATTAACAGCGTTAACGTCCTAGTGGATCTGTCAAAAGTAAACATTGAGTTCTAGTACCAAGTCGAAGCAAAACAATGGGCACAGGCATTACCTCGGAGTCGGTCGAGTTACCGGACACACCCGAACTGCCTGACACTGCAGAGACGGCGGACGACGTCGACACGCTGGAAAAGGCCGACGACATGGAAGGCGTGCGGACGGTCTGAGCACGCAACGGTGGAGCGAGGAGCAGATCGGATGCACCGTGACCGGACGCCACCTCCAAAGCCATTGTCGGTGCTGTGTAATCCTCATGCATTTCTCCTGAAGTAGTCAATGGAAACACACACACACCCATGGCTGAAACAACAAGACGGCATCAGAGCTGTACAAACACATAACTAATAGGCTTGCATACACACATCCAACCTCTCTTCCTTTCCGTCTCTATCTGTGTGTGTGTGTGTGTGTGTGTGTGTGTGTGTGTCTCTCTCTCTCTCTCTCTCCCTCCCTCCCTCCCCTCCCCTTTGTCTGTCTGTCTGTTTGTCTGTCTCTCTCTGTCTCTGTCTCTGTCTCTGCTTGTCCGCCTGTCTCTATGTATGTCTCTATGTCTGTCTCTACGTATGTCTGTATGTCTGTCAGTCTGTCTCTATGTGTGCATGTGTGCATGTGTGTGTGTGTGTGTGTGCGTGTGTGTGTGTGCGTGCGCGTGTGTGTGTGCATGTGTGCGGGAGAGAGAGCTAACTTTAATAGCAAGGAAGAAAATCTCTGCAAAGTCCAATGGCCAATACATGATTCCTTCGCACACTGACTCACCAACCACAGCACTGGTGTGCAGCGACGTGCCCGCAGTTTCCACGGATATGGTCGGGCCACACGTGGAGCAGGGCATGGAGGCGTGCGAGTCCTCGCTCAAGCACGGCGACTTTGCGCGCACGTCCACCTGCGACATGGCGGCGGCATCGCTCGTGCTCAGCCGTGATGGCACTGGTCCGCCCGAACGCCGACGCACCGAGCCCTGATGCACGGCTGCAGCCGCCGCTGCCGCGGCAACCATGGCAAACTGCGCTTTGGGTGCGACGGCAGCTCTATGGTGTTCGGTGCGGGATATGCGCGAGGAGTGGAACGATCGTGCAGAGTCCTGGCTGACGGGCGTTCTGGCCGCGTCCTGGTTATTGAACGTTCGCATGGAGTCCTGCGTTACGGGAGCGCGCGCTATGTTGCACGAGCTCGCGCCGCGGGCAATGCCGCTGCTAGTGCCGTTGGAGACCTCGCGCAGGTATGCCGAGATTTCAAAGAGCAGTTGGCATGCTATCGGGAACAGCTGGTACGTGGCCTGCGGCGTCTTAGGCACTGGAATGGATGTGCAGATGACATTTACATGCCACGCATGCACGGACACACACGCATACACACACACGCACGCACACGCACGCACATGCACACACACACACACACACACACACACACACACACACACACATACACACACACAAGCACGCATGCATGTTTGCACACAAGAAAGTTCGTCAAGGACATACTATTGATTAAGGATGGGGCACACGCCATACACATACACATGCAATACAATACTAGACAATGCACACCCGCAGATGATGGCAGGTCCTGAAAGGACCAACAGAGTTCCAGTCACAGAGAATAAAAGCTTCAAACGGCAACTAAGGGCCTGTCGACGGCAAACACCTCGCAGCCGCAGTGGGGAAATAAAGTCTCAGGACACAGGTTTAGGCAGCCGGATGTTGTCATTCTGACGAACCACAGTGATGGATTCTTTCTTCGACCTTAGAACCTACTACTACCATGAATGGAGGGAGCAAATGAAGATGGCATCATTGAGTTAGAACCACAGTGACCATGATGTTAAGCAAGCAGATATGTAGGCACAGATACCAGTCTGTTGTTCACAGCTGACACAGCTGCAGTTTACAAATGCTTGGGGGAGCTTACTTAACTGTGGAGTCGGATTCAGACAGACAGGTCCGTCAACATCCTGAACTGTTACGGCAACGGAACGACGACTGTCCTCCTGTAACAAAGCAAGAAGAATCAGAAGAGATGTACAGACATCCGCGTGGATAACACCCTCGGGTATAGCAACTCACAGGTAGCGACACAATCTTCAGACTTAGTGACTAGTATTGAACTGCATACTTTCAACTTCACGGATAGCAACAACTCGTGAATAATGGCACAATTTTCAGACCTGGTGATCATTTGAACTGCATACTTCCACCCTCATGAATAGCGACAGCTTGGGAATAACAACACTTTTCTCATGCACGATCAAGGGTCAATATTCAATATTCGCAAGGTTGACTGCACAGGCATGTACACAGCGCTGCGCGTGTGTGATTCAAGCAGAGCAAAGCTGTTTTCTGCTGGAACGTCCTGAATTCCATGCTGGCAATGCGCAAGTGGACTTTATGCCACAGAAAGGCCACACAGCGCAGCCATCAAACAACATGCACTTGGCACCAGGACCGGCAGAAGCAGTTTTTGACTGGTGGGTCCGGCCATACCCTAGTCTTTCATACGGTTTGTGTATGGTATGGAGGGTATACACATGACTTCCTCAGCAGTACAGTACTGTCAGGCGCCGAAGAACGACCAGGCTAGATCGTTAACCAAGCACAGCATACCGATGTATACACGGTGACTCAACTGTGCATAGACTGTAATACATGAAAATAAGAACGGCCTAGGCTAGGAGTCTGACCCCCCCCCCCCAGTTCTTCGACGACCGACAGTGCTGTAAACACATGTTGATGGCCAATCAGTTGGTCCGGCCACGGCCTAACCAACCCGACCGGCTCCGCCGCCCCTGCATGTTAAAAGGCGAACAGGGAAAGAATAATACAAGCTGCCCTATCAATATCATTGCCAAAGAACATACAAATAGTACACATGACAGGAGCACACACTAGAAATGGGTCCCGTGCCTTACATGTTTTTCAAAGATCTCCTGCAGTTTGTTGGCCAGCGCCTGGCCCCACAGCCAGAAGTTGTGCACGGCAGCATCAAACGGCTGGTTCTCCATCACCATCCAGGCGGGATAGCGACGCTCGCGACAGTCCCTCACCAGCAGGGTGCACTCGATCAGGAACGCAGCCCTGGCCACAATGGGACAATTCTGAGAAGAGCAGAAAGAGAAAGTGGAAGAAAATGAAGAGCGCGTCCTTGGTGGATTATTTCTGGGCAATGCGGCACAAGGCACATTCAGTGTGCACATGTTGAAGCAAGACAATGGAAATATGTAGTATCCATTCCTGAGCACCCCCTAGCGACAGCAAAACCTCAATATCCGGGACAATTATTTTACACTTTGGGTCCCGGATGATGACCAGCATCGTGACGCGTGTGCATGCATTTCTGTATCAAGATAGGGAGCCATGCATGCATTTCTGTATCAAGATAGGGAGCCATGCATGCATTTCTGTATCAAGATAGGGAGCCATGCATGCATTTCTGTAGCAAGATAGGGAGCCATGTATGCATTTCTGTAGCAAGATAGGGAGCCATGCCTGCATTTCTGTATCAAGATAGGGAGCCATGCATGCATTTCTGTATCAAGATAGGGAGCCATGCATGCATTTCTGTATCAAGATAGGGAGCCATAAGCAGGACACTACTACAAGTATAGTAGGTGTGCTTGGTTCCCGGAATGTCCGTTCTCAGAGGGTCTACTCTACACATTGGAAAACGGCAGCCCCGTTGTACGCAGTGGTAAGACAGGCAGGCTTGAATTTAATGACATCGGTAATACTGACAGATCATGAATCAAAGATGGAAGCTGATTTTCCAACATACTGTGCTGGCAAGACAAAGCCCCACTGGGTACAATGATAAAACAACCAGTCTTGGATATCACAACATTCATAATGATGACGGATCATCCACCAATGATAGGATTGCAAGGAACACGATAACGGTCGGACATCAGACATTTTCCGACCATTTCGATTTGAATCCGGCGCTTTTTTTATTCGAACGGACAAACTGCCATTTCAAATGACATACCATATAACTTGGCGTGTCCGGTGTGCCAATATGTGCTACAGAAGCGAACATGTACATGTATCGGGGAAGGCCATTCCGTTTGCCTACTGGAGTGATATTCCACATGACTAGCTTTGCTGCATTTGTAAAGCATGTCTATAGCTGAGTGGAAGGGAGAGTTGCATAGTCAGGAGCCAGGACCATGCTAAGTGGAGGGAGAGTTATAAAATTAAGATCTTGCTGAGTGGATGGGAGAGCTGTAAAATTAGGACCACGCTTGGTGGACGGGGACAGTTGCAAATCAAGACCACGCTAATAGAAGTAGATGGGGAGAGTTGCAAATCAGGACCACGCTAGTGGAGGGGAGAGTTGCAAATCAGGACCACGCTGAGTGGAGGGGAGAGTTGCAAATCAGGACCACGCTGAGTGGAGGGGAGAGTTGCAAAATTAGGATCATGCCTTACAAGGTCCAGTGTGGCAGCGATGAGGTTAGCGTCCGGCAGGCTGCCACTTTCCGAGCACTGCAGTAGAGCGGCCAGCGACACCAAACCGGTGTGCATCTGATCGCTGTTAATGTTGGAGAGGTAGGACTGTACACATAGGCATACACACGAGACCGCACACACACACACGCACCCATGCACACACACACACCCATGCACACACACACACACACACACACACACACACACACACACATGCACACACACACATGCACACACACACACACACACACACACACACACACACACACACACACACACACACACATACGTATGCACACATAAGCCCATACACATACGGACACACACACATGTGCGCACACACCCACACACACACACACACATACACACACACACACACATACACAAGCGAGACCGCAATTACATGTACGCACACACATGCACATGAATGCACAAGTAGGTACATGCATGTATACACATATACATGCATACATGTACATACATACATGCATGTATACACATACACTTGCATACATGTACATACATACATGTACAGTTTTGACATGAACAGAAGAGGTGCATTTGAGCAACAACAGCACCGCTGATACAGCATCGACGAGTAATAGGTGAACAGCGGCAGAGTGGGGTGAGGGGCAGAGATATTAGTGAACAAGGAACACTTCTTTCATACATATTCTTGCCATGCCAGTAAATACGTGCCGAGACAGGCTTGGAGAAGATGTGGTGAGAGGGACGGGGGCATAAGCCCGACGTGTACTGGAAAGCTGTATCTCCATATTAACACAAAACCCCAAATTCGAATGGTTGAGTGCATCTACTGCTACCGACCTTCTTCAACCCCAAATACTCTGTTACTAATCACATCGGTTCAAACCACTGGGATTTTAACCAAGAAACCCCTGGGGAGGGGGGGGGGCTGGGGGAAATCCCCGGTGTGCCCTACCTGTGCGTTGCTGCTGTCGGAAATTTCGTTCCGCTTGTTGCTGCTGTTCTCATCCGTGTTCTCGCGTGTCAAGATGGGTATTTTGTTGTGCTGCTGGGTGTGGCTCGGCTTGGGCGTCACGGGAGCAGAGGTGCTGAATGCCGACTCCGTCTGAATGGAATCCCTGCCACTGCTGCCACCACTGCCGCTCGATTCCGTCTTGTTGCCCTTCCACCAGATGCTGTCGGGGATGAAGTTTCGGAAGCGCGACGTCTGGCTGCGCTCTCGGCCCTGAGAGAAATACAGACCAAGCAACGGTTAGGCGTAATGCAGCAAACATACCATACTGCACTTAACACAGTGCCCCCCCCCCCCCCCTCCCACCACTATCATCATCGCCAGCAGTAGCTCAATCAGCATTGCCCCCCCCCCCCCCCCCCCTTCGCCACTGCCAGCTCAGACAACACAGTAGCTCAGACAACACAGCCCCTCCCCCCCCTACACACACACCTCCACCACCATTGCCAGCAGGAGCCAGTGGCGGATCCAGGACTTGGCCGAAGAGGGGGCCCAAGGTATCCGCCCCCCCCCCCAAAAAACAAAACAAAAAATACAACAACAACAAAGTCCTGAAGTTGTGAAGAGCTGTTGTATTTTAGGGTCCGGCGGATTCTGCCGGCAGAAAAATTGGCAGAATTCTGTACTTTTTCTGGTAAGTTTCATGGATGTTTGGTATGTGGATAAAAAATGGAGCAGAATTCGAGGAATTGCCCGCCATAGGGTTTGTATGGTTCTGCCAATTTCACTGCTTTTCGAGCAGAATATGCCACCTTTTCGAGCAGAATCCGCCGGTCCCTAGTTTTTTTCCATTCTCACGACATTTTCAAACTGCACTGGAACATTTCCACTCGACAGCGGCCGCGACGGACCTTTCGACGGCTCTCCAACGCGAGCTCTCTTATCTACCGGTCCACTGAAGAACGACCTGATGTCAGACCCTTTCCTCTTCATCTCATATCTGAAGGTAACCCGTTGGCTACAAGCGAAATAGAGAGCTAGAGAGCGTTTACTTGTAGTTTCTGACAAGTGAAAAAGAAAAAAAGGAAGGACGAATTCGACAGCACCGTGCACCATACAGGACTTCAGCCCAACGCGATCGCTGCACTATGTACCAGGCCCTGCATTTTTGGCACGTTTTTCACATGTTTGAAGTGCGGCCGTGTCCTCAGGTCGCAGTGCGTACAGTAGTTGTACACCGGTACACAGCACGTTGACTAGTACAGACTCAGTGCGTGACACCATGTACCGGAGTGACCGGACACGTATAAAAGTACCCAGCACGCGTGACCCACTTGACACGCCAAGTCATTTCGAGCGCTCATTCTACAGTCTACTGTAATCCTAGACCAAGGTCGAAATTTTCAAAGGGGGGGCCCAGGCCCCCTGGGCCCCCCCCTGGATCCGCCACTGGGAGCTCAGCAACACAGCAAAAGCAGGGGGACACCTCCACAATCTTAAAAGCCATACGGGGCTGTGCGCTTAGGCTAGCTCACCTCAAAATCATCCAAGACCAGGGACTTGCCCGGCAGGGTGAAGCTCCGATTGCGGTTCGATCCCAAGTGCTGGTACTCGGACATGTCCTTGATTTCCACGCAAGACGAGAGGGCCGGAACGGCCTCCACGCTGGCCCCCTTGACCAAAGTGACAGTGCGGCCGGCCACCAAATCAGACTTCTTCGGCGGCTCGGCGGCAGCCTCCTCCGGTACTGCGGGCGGCACGTTGGCCGGTTTCTGTCCGATGCAGTAGCTTGACACGGCCACAGAGGCGCTGGACGAGCGCCCAAAGGGAGAGTGCTGCGAACCCGACGACGTTTTCGAGCTCCTCTTGGCGGCGGACGCCTGCGGCTTGCTCGGCTCGCGAGGGCGAGTTGACAGCAAGCAGTGGAGGATGACGCTGCGCAGCACTTTGTCATGATTGCAGTTGGCAAACGCCACCAGTCGACACGCTTCCTTGGCAGTCATCTGCAGCAGTGTCACAAATAGCACAATACAACAGCAAAGTAAGCAGTGAATAGCAGTTCTGTATTCCCCTAGAAATGTGCATGTGTCTCACCATTTCAAACTGAACTTGCGCGATTTACTGTAATTACACAGTGAAGCGATCTGGCGGAGACCAGAAATGGGGGGGGGGGGGGGGGGGGTGCCTTCAACACAAGGGTGATCTGTAGCTGTGGAAAATATGGCACTTACCTTACTAGAACAGCAGGAGGTGTGTGTGTGTGTGGTGTGGTGTGTGTGTGTGTGGGCGGGAGGGGGGGGGGGGGCTGTTGTATTGAATGATATCATACATTTTCAAGGATTCTCCCAAGGCAAATGGACGCCTATCAAAGGGAGTCTCCTGGGGAAAGGAAGTGAAGGTGGCTGTTATGAGAGAGGGAGGAAGGGACATGACAAGGTGAAAAAAGGTTGTGTCCTGGCAGTGGACACCTGTCACAAACTAAGAAAAATAAGGTTAGACTGTATCAGGGCTCTTGCAGCGAACTGTGCACGACCTGTACCAAGACCAGATTACCGACAGCCACATGCCAGTAGATAGGCCAACATGGATACAAGCAACAAGCAAACAGTGAGTATATACTGCCCACACTTGAACAGATCGCCAGGAAAAGCTCCACTCTAGTCGCAGCGTACATCATGTTGACCTCAATAGGAACACGCAAGCAAACGTTCACAAGAACCAACACAGTAAGATAGAACTACCAGCATACCTCGTTAACTGGTGCCATCATGTCAACTCTTCCTAGCTGGGCAACAAGAGGACGCAATGTGTGCTTGAGAATGAACCCGTCTAACTTTGCCACGTTGAACTTGATTGACGGCGGACCAGTGGGCTGCTCGGCGGAGTGCGAGCGGATCAGCTTGCTGCGCGAAGTCTCAAACCAGTCGCCGCTCATCAGCTTGTCCTTGTTGAACCGCAGCGCCAGAGACTTGGACTTGCGCAGGCGGCGGCGGCGCGTATCCACAGAGCCAATGGACTGCACAGGTACACAGGCGGTACACACAAACACACATGCATATACACACAGACACACAGACGCACAGACACGCACGGGGATGCACACTCCGTCATACAGGCACGAATGGGCAGCAAGGAAGACCTTTCCAACTGAAAAAGCAGGTCGGCATGCTCCTATGTCGATGGCGGCGTAGAGAAGAATTTAGAGTGGCGTCGAATATCAATTGCCATGGTGGGACCCTTCACCAGAGGAGCAACCACTCTCTACAAGGAATATACACAATTCAAGGCCAGGGGCATTTCACCAGTCACCAAGGACATCAGGCCCCCTGCCAAACAGCCCAAAGGACATGTTCTCCTGTCGCGTTAGCAACTCTAAGGTTAATGCGCTTTGCATTTCCTCATCTAGAGCCCTTCTCTTCTTCTAAGAGCCTTGGCAGGATGTCATAATATGACATCCTATGTATATTATACATATAGATAGCGGACAGGCATGTACATGTACATGTACAGTAGAATTCCCCTTATCTGGGGCAAGTCGGGATAGGGCACTGCCCGGAACTTGGAACATGCATACTGTTCGCATGCAAGTAGCGACGCTTTATGCCAATCAATTTGCGGTGCCGTTTTCGTTAAAAGTCATTTTTGCGACCTAAGAGGGATCAGAAAGGCGCCTGGTAGATGGGAGTGACCGGGTCTGGGGAGTCCGGGCTAAGAGAATTTTATTGTACTACCAAAAATGCCATCACACCAGCAAAATATACACCAGATAGATAGAGGCACGAGAGGAAATGAGACTGGAGAAGTGCTCATCCACCTACGTCGTTGCTCTTGCTGATGTCAATGGCGTTGGCGTGTTTCAAGCGCTTCTCCGTCGGTACGCCAGAGTCCTTGTCACTGCACGGCAACACAACAGCAGATAGACAGGCAAATGAGGAGTACTGTAACGGACATTGATATCCGTTGGCAAGTCAAGCAGCCGCGTGGCGCTGGCCGTGCAGCCGCGAGCACTGCTGGGTCATTTTTACAGCGTGTACACGTGAACTACAGTGCGTGTACGTGCTAAAAGCAGTAAGGGTGCCTGCCCCGGTCATCCCATCGGATTTCAATGTCCACGACAGTAGGAGATGTGAGCTCCTAATCACAGGTTTCGACAGCTGATGCACTCACCGAACACATACATTGAAACAATTCAGTGGAATTCTTTGAGCACCCTGTATTGCACTGTACCAGTCATTGCACCCTGGATATCCGGTATCTTGGCTATACAGTACAGATTCTCATGGCCCTTGGGGTATGTGATGCTGAACGTCCCTGTACAGATTCTCATGACCCTTGGGGTATGTGATACTGAACGTCCCTGTACAGATTCTCATGGCCCTTGGGGTATGTGATACTGAACGTCCCTGTACAGATTCTCATGGCCCTTGGGGTATGTGATACTGAACGTCCCTGTACAGATTCTCATGGCCCTTGGGGTATGTGATACTGAACGTCCCTGTACAGATTCTCATGGCCCTTGGGGTATGTGATACTGAACGTCCCTGTACAGATTCTCATGGCCCTTGGGGTATGTGATACTGAACGTCCCTGTGCATGTACGCACCGCACAGAAAAAGACTGAAGAGATGAAGAAAAGAGTCAAGAAACAGTGGATTCTTACCGGTACTCGCTGATCAAGCGGTCCTTCAAGCTGGAAATATTCCGAATGGGGCGGCTAGCCAGATTCATAATGAACTCGCCGGCACCAGATGCCGAGTCGGGTAGCAGGTTGTGCAAGTGCTTCCTCAGGCTGCCCGTGCCATTATACCGCTGCTTGATCGAAGAGTTGGGACTCTTGCTGGACTTGTCGCCGGTTCCGGACTGCGCTTGTGTCTCCTTAGCGCTGCTCTCCGCCATCTGGTCTTGCGCGGGCTTGGAGCGGCTACACACGCCCAGTAGGCAGTGCAAGCAAAACAAGGTCTTCTCGATGGGCGATACCTCGGCAAACGTGTTCAGATGCAGCCGCATTGCCTGGCTATCGATGTGGCACATGGCTGTGAACAGGCTGCGGATCTGGTGGTGGAAGTTGGCGCCCTTGAGGCCCTTCAGGCCTTCCCGACAGTTCTTCTGATAACAGCCGCACCGAACGGTCACCTCCAGCAATGCCGACAGAATCTTGTGGAACAGCGCTTCGGTCTGTGGGCTCAGCAGCTTCCCATCTGTATGAACAAGGAGACATTGGAACAGTCCAGGGAAATGAGGTAGATTGAAAGAAACCCTACTGTATCTAACTACAGCACACACTGGTTAAGAACCAGTCGTAAACAATCACTGCTCTGAGAGACCGTCACCTGATCTGAATTCCCGAGATCCTGATGCACAACACTCAACCATACAGCCTAGGGGAAACCCTATTCAAAATTCTATTCAACACAATCGGCATCAGTTTTCACTCAAGGTTGCAGTGCACTGGACCATGTAGTCCCTCGACAGGCCAGGCATGTGGTCCCGGAGTACAACACTCAATCATCATGCGGGAACCCATCTACAACACAGTCCACAATAGCTAGAAACAGATTATTCTAACAGAGGAACAGACAGAGAGTAGCACATGCATGCACTGTACCTTTAAGGACCAAGCTCTCATCACTCGCTGAGTTAGTCAGCAGAGACTCAGTCTCGTCGTGAATCTGCTTGCACATCAGCTCAATGGCGGTCTGCAGCAGCTGCAGGGAGGCAAACTGGACTTCCTCGTCCACCTCTTCGGGCACATGCATGCTGACGATTGTATCCACAACACTCTGCAAAGTCAAGACAACACAGCAAAACACAGTGATGCTCCCAATGTGGACACAGCAGTGCCACATACGGTGTCTACAAAACATGCGCTGAGAAACTCATCTGTATGTACAATGTCATGTATTACCCATAAGGAACAATGAGGTGCCTTGGGGGTTACAGATAAGAGTCCTCCGGCTCAGTAGAGTGCTCAATATTCATTCGAATAGAGCTATCGTACACGCACGTCACAGAGCACCACACATCATCCGGTTGTAACTAATACTTTCATGCCCATGGGCAATCATCAGACAACTTCTCTTGGGGGTTACAATGTATGTGCTCTCGGCTACATGTACCACAGATCACAGATCACAGACCACTCACCTCCAGGTGGAGGACGTTTTCATCGAGAAAGTTGTCCAGAGAGACGGGCCCGGCGAACGGGAACGACGAGGTGCTGGTGGTGCTGGCGTGCATGTGTACGGACATGGACATCTGGAAGCCGCGCGGCACGTTGCCCTTGGCGTAGCAGAGCGTGCTGACGCGGTTGCGCAGGTAGGTCAGCGACCAGGCGCGCGCCTGGTCGCTCCAGTCTGACCAGCTCAGCGATAGCAGCGCCGCAATGTCCAACCAGACGGCGCACTGCTCCGGTGGCACAAGGCGACCGCCAGATCCGAGCACGGCGCACGGCTGCACCAACAGTGTCACGTCGGGTGGCACGCCGGCCACCAGCGGGCCCCACAGATCCTTCCACGGCTTGTTCGTCGACGGCCCAAAGTCCTCCGAGTCGAGATTGCCCAAGATGGGAACTAACGAAGACACGAACAACTCCACTACGCTGTAGTCCAGAATTGGCTTTCTTGACCTGCAGCAACAATCAAGACAAAGGCACTGGTATGTTTCCGTTTCTCTAAAACAAAATTCACGGTTCGCGTGAGATTTGGCTGGAGGCAAAGTTTTTCGCATCCGTAGGTTCCGTTTCTCTAAACACATGAACAATACGTTTGGGCATTTGGAATCCCAGGTGTCCAAACAATGCGAGCGATAAACACTCCTAGTCCGCGTACATGGCGTAATCAACTCAAATCTGTACACAGCAACCATTATGTAAGCAAGTACTGGCCGTCGCAAATGTATGGTATATGTCCATGCATATAGCATGCATTGTAAACACCTTCAACTGCAGTGAAGCTTCATCATAAACTATAAAGCACTCTGGATAAAAGATACTATGGGATGCAAAGTACTAATTTTGACGACCTTGCACTCTACTATACCAGTCATTTGACCTTGCCAATCCAGTACACGTACCCTGGCTATAAACTATAAAGTACAGATTTTCATAGCCCTTGGAGGTATGTTATACTGGGCTTCACTCTACTGTAGGTGACCCATGTGCTTTTTACTGGTCAATGTGCAGCTTAAAAT